TGGACAAAGAGTAAAGCATCGTTTATCTGGAATAGTCTTGGTAGATACGAATTTCTAGATAACCATCGTTCATCCCTCTCTTAAGTACCAAATAGATTTTATTTAATTGGCCATAGTTTAAATAATACTGTAAATGAGATTGTGTGGGAAAGGGCTTGATAAGCTCATTCGTTCATCTAGCCAGTGTTTGAGGGGTGCTTCCTGTCCCACGTGATGAGGAAGGGAAGGGCTGATGGAGACCTGAGGGGTGTGAAGGGTGAGAAGGTGGACAGGGACTTGTTTGTCACACCCTTTGGAGGAAACACCCTTTACAGACCAAAGACCTACAGTCTTAACACAAGCCTGGGGAGGTATTACTCTGTGTGGCAGGCAGTCAGCAGCCTGGGACTCTAGACCCCACCAGGACAGAGGTGGGAAGGATCTCACAGTTCTCACCACCCTCGGTTGGCGGGGGCAGCTCAGGGTAGTGTGCTGGGTGCCCTGAGATCGGCCTCCATTCAGGCCAAAAGCTGCAGAACAAACTTGTACTACTGTGGCTGCAGAACTGACATTAGAGTGGTCATTAGAAAGTCCCAAAGAACCTGTAAGATAACTTAAAAAAACAAAAACAAAAATAACTTCCATAGCCCTGCAGGACCTTAACGGGCTTTCTGGCCGAGCCAGGGCAGATCACACTGCACGTGGTGTGTCCCTTGTACACCCTCCTCCGCATAGTCTCAGGCTCCGTGGGGGTTGCTATATTCAAAATCGTGGTGTGTTGGGAACACATGGTTGGCTGCCATGAGGGGAGACCCAGGGGTGAGAAGGCTCTGCCCAGCTCAGCAGGATGGGTGTGGCTGGGGAAGAGAGCAGCTGGTGCTCCTGGCTGCATTCCTTCCACGAGCTGCCACCTCTAAGAGCTGGTAGCCGGGAGGTTTTGGACACTCCCACGGGTAGCTCTCTCTGTGCATGGTCCAGAGCAAAGCAGGAAGCCCCGTGGACCATGACATTAAAACAAATTGTAGTGTTGGTGATTGTCTTCCTGTGTTGGCAACTTCTCAAATGAGAAGTTTGTTTTTTTTTAAAAAAAAGTATAGAAATAGAAGAAATCAGAAAGTTTAAAAATAAGTTACGTTCTTCAATATTTGTTGGCTCACCATGGAAATCAAGGACAAATAAGAGCATTGTAAAGGGTGGAAGGGTAATGCCATTTAGTGTTTAGTAATTATGTCCTTTGTAGTAATTACGAAGCTCTTCTCTGCTGGAATAAGTGAAATAAAGTTACCACAGCAGAGTGGAAATGAATGATTCCAAATGATCATAATGTTTTGAAATTTCTGCCACAAAAACTAGCACCCCTAACCTCTCTGGCACATGCGCTGTGCTTTACAGCCACACGTTTGATATATTTAAGATGGATATTTTAAGATCAGTAACTGGAGGAAAGTGTTGTGTGGAAGCCTTGTCCTGCTTTAATTTATTGTCATGGGATTTTTTTTTTAACTATTGGAAAAAAATAATTCAGAGGTTGAAACAATCTCATGATGACCCTTCTGTGGTCATAGTAGGTATTTATCATGATGGGACGGGACTGGACCTGTGGTGATGCTTTTAAGATGAAAACAGGTAATGATGACTATCATTCTAATGAACTGTTCAATTTCTACAGAATTCAGAAAAACTCCCTATCAATACAGCACCTCAGTGTTACAGAGGGAAAACGAGAGAAACCTCTTTCCAAGGCAGAAGGCGCCCTCCGCGACCTTTCATCACAGCGTGGCGCCGCGTTCTAACCTGCCGGCTCGGCCAGGATCTCCAAAGGCCATGGGAAGCGCTGCCAGAAGAGGCCTCCTGAGCTCCGGAGCCACCTCCTTTACAACCACCCGCCTGGAAAACGCCTATGAAAAAACTGCCAGCCGTCAAAGCAACCTCAGAACTTTCTCTCCAACCCCTGATCTTTTAAGAAGTACTGAAGCTCAAGTGAGAACTGAAGGGACAAAGGATGCCCCCGCCAGCTCAGCCAGAGAGTCCCCTCTTGCCCGAAAGCCCTACCAGGAGCGCTGGGACCACGTGACGGCAGGGGCTTCCAAAAGCACTTGGTCGAATGAGAGGACCGTCTTTTTGGGAAAGGAAACAGAAGCTGAAGCCACGAGGGAGCAGGAGAGAGGCAGACCGGGAACCATCCAAACAAAGCGAGAAGAGAAAATGTTTGATTCCAAAGAGAAGGCTTCAGAGGAAAGAAACCTAAGGTGGGAAGAACTGACGAAGTTAGATAAAGAAGCCAGAAAGCGAGAAAGCCAGCAAATGAGGGAAAGGGCCAAAGAGAAGGAGTCACTGAAGGAGAAAAGTGTGAGGGAGGGAGAGATACCGATCAGTCTGGAAGCCTCCCCGGGCGGCAGCCCAGAGGTGGCCCCGCAAGGTCCCCAGGTGCCCCTGCAGAAGGACGCTGGTGAAGGGACAGGTAGACGGGTGGAAACAAGGGAGGCTGGGTTCAGGCTGAGCACCAGTGACACCACAGGCTCTCTGAAAGGCGACTCCATGACCGAGACCATAGCCGAAAACATCGTGTCCAGTATCCTGAAGCAGTTCACCCACTCCCCCGAGACAGAAGCATCAGCCAGTGCTTTTCCAGACACAAAAGTCACTTACGTGGACCGGCAAGAGCTCCCCGGAGACGGGAAAACAAAGACTGACATAGTCGTGGAGTCGAAACTGACTGAGGAAGTTGATGTTTTGGATGAAACGGGCCTGGACTACCTCTTAAACCAGGGTACTAAGGAGGTGGGGCTGAAAGGGAAGTCAGCTGAGCGGGTGATCGGAGATATAATCAATCTCGGGCTGAAAGGGAGAGAGGGGAGGGCGAAGGTGGTCAACGTGGAGATCATTGAAGAGCCCATGAGCTATGTCGGGGGTGAGAAGGCGGCTGAGTTTTCTACCCCATTCCAGGTGGAGGAGGTGGAAGATGCGTCTCCGGGCTCCAAGGGGCTTGTCGAGGAGGAGGAAGGTTATGAAGAAGCGGATGTCACGTTCTCAGGGAGTCGACATAAAAAGGCTCGGCCGCCCCAAGAGGACGTAACTCACGTTGAAGAAGTGATGGAGGCAGGTGACTCGGAGGGAGAGCAGAGTTATTTCGTGTCGACCCCGGATGAACAGCCCGCGGGGCGCGATGGAGACGAAGGCTCCGTGTATGGGCAGATCCACATTGAAGAGGAATCCACCATCAGGTACTCCTGGCAGGATGAAATTGTGCCGGGGTCTTGGAGAAGAGGCAATAAGGACGAAGCGCTGGGAGAGAAGGTTGTGAAGCCACCGGATGTTCCAGAACCATTTCTGGAGGGGGACCTGGGTTCTACTCACTGGAAAGAGCAGACTAGGAGTGGTGAATTTCATGCCGAACCCATAGTCATTGAAAAGGAAATTAAGATACCACAGGAATTCCACACGTCCATTAAGGAAGGCTTCAAGGAGCCCAGACACCAGCTGGTGGAGGTCATCGAGCAGCTGGAAGAAAGCCTCCCGGAACGCATGAAGGAGGAGCTGTCTGCCCTGACCAGAGAGGACCAGGGCGGGGCCGAGGGCGTTTCTGTGGACGTAAAGAAAGTCCAGACCGCAGGTGGTGGGTCTGTGACCTTAGTTGCCGAAGTCAACCTCTTGCAGACTGTCGATGCCGACCAATTAGACCTGGAGGAGCTGAGCAAGGATGAGGCGGGTGAGATAGAGAAGGCGGTGGAGGCGGTGGTACGGGACAGCTTGGCCAAGCGGCATAGCCCGGCACCTGGGAGCCCAGACGAGGAGGCCGGAGCGGAGGCCCCGGCTGCCGGCTTCCGCTTCAAGCGCTGGGCCACCCGGGAGCTGTACAGCCCCTCTGGTGAGGATGCCCACGCCGGCCCCGCCTCTCCCGGCCTAGAGCAGGTTGCTTCCCAGGGCCCGGTGTCGGCCACCGTGGAAGTCACCAGCCCAAGGGGCTTTGCCCAGTCACAGGTGCTAGAGGACGTCACTCAGTCTGTAAGGCACGTTAAAATAGCGCCCCCTGGAATTTGGAGGACTGAGCAAGTCTCACCCGAAGGACCCACTGCACAAGTGGTGGAGGTAAGTGGGGAAAGCGACCTGAGTCGGGCAGCGAGCTCGGCGGGAGCCAGCTGGTCTGCGAGGCACTTTCCTTTGGGTCCCGATCAAAGTCAAGTGTCCACAGAAGTCGTCTTCCAGGGGCCTGTCCCTGCCTGTCCCGAGGCAGGGGATGCAGAAGAGCCTGGCCCGTCAGAGCTTTCCACTGACGCCGACAGATCGGGGAGGCACAGCTCATTTGACTCCAGACAGTTTCATGCTAAGAGGGAGATAATTTTTCAGGCCCCCATTTCTGGGACAGGGAAGGCTGGTGATCATTTTCAAACAGAAGAGTCAGCGGGTACCCAGACCTCTGTAACGCACCTTCAGTTAGGCCCTAGGGAGGGGTTCAGTGAGCAAATCCAGCTCACAGCCCCCCTTTCAGAGCAGGTGGAGTTGGAGGTCAGAGAAACTTCTGTGGACACTGAAGCGTGGACAGGGAGTGGCACGTCCACCATGCATGTCAGAGTCGGGTCTCAGAGGCACCAAACCACCGAGCAGATAGTTCCCCCGCCCTGGGAATTTAGCGACTCAGAAAGCAGTGCCCACAGCGAGGGCGGGGCGGATGTGAGCCAGGCCACCCGCAGTTACACCGTGGGGAGGAAAATCCTGATGACTGAAAGGAGCACCTTCCAAGGGGCTGGGTCTCCTCAGGAGACCAGCGTGGGAGACACGTCTGGGGTGGAAGTGACATCGGGCATGAGCAGGTCCTTTAGGCACATTCAGCTGGGCCCCGCAGAAACCCAAACCTCTGAGCACATTGTCTTCCACGGACCAGTCTCCACAGCATTTGCCCTTGCTGGCTCGGGAGGCTCCCCTGAGCTAGGCGAGGTGGCAGATGGCAGCAGAACAGTAAGGCATGTTGCACTGGGGCCCAAAGAAACCTCATTTACCTTTCAGATGGACGTGAGTAATGTAGAGGCGACCCCCCGCTGGACACAAGAGGCCACAGTCCTCTTTCCCCAAGGGACGGAAGCAGAAGCTTGTAGCGAGTCTGACCGTGGTGCTTGGAGAGATGCCGGCAGTAGGAATGACCTGGCAGCCGGCGCGAGCTTTCAGGGCTCTGCTTGGGACAGACACCAGGCCGCCAGGGAAAAGGGCAAGGAGCAGGCTGAGTTTGATAAGACGGTGCAGCTACAGAGGATGGTAGACCAGAGGTCTGTGATTTCGGATGAAAAGAAGGTTGCCCTCCTGTATCTAGACAATCAGGACGAAGAGAATGAGGGACACTGGTTCTGATGAACAGATGCTGTGTTTTATATGCTGTCTTACTTGGTAGCAACCAACACACAAAGGCCTTTACTTCTTTTGAGGGAGGGAGGCTCACTCTTTATTAAAACCTCCCCCTGTTTTTACTTTCTTCAAAGAGTGCTCCAGGCAATGTCAATTTGCTTTATAATCTGTAAAGTTTTCAAACTAATTCGTGCCTTAAAAGGTGTTGGAATTTTATTGAGTTGGGACTTTGACAAAAAAAATCTTTTTTTAATCTTTTTAGTCTTAAAAGTTCCTTTCTCTGGAGTTTTCTTTCTACTCCTAGAGACGATTTCTACCCCTTTTGCACCTGGTCACAGAAGTGCCTCGCATTCTGTTTGAAGCTATATTTAACTATCTAGGTAAGTTACGAGATTAAAGTAACTAACAAGATTAAAGTAAAACATACATTAAATATATAAGAGTAAATTTTATTTGCATGTGCCAATATGAAATAGTTAACTAACATCTTAAGGGAAAAATGAACACATTTTTCTCTGTCTGAAGTCTTCAAAAAGAAATCATAGGAAATAAGCAGATTAAAGAAAAAAAATCTAAGTGATTTCATCTTTAGGAAAAAGTTACTTATCACAGAGTTAAATTCATTTTAAGACTTGAGTGAATTGCTTTCTATGTGCAGAACTTTAAAAAATATATATAGTATTTTATTTATGGAGAGGATAGCTCCCGTCTAGCACAGGGTTTCCAGTCAGCACACTTGCTGTGTTTACACGGGCTCTTGGAAACCTGTAGTGGGTCCGGAAGGAGCCAGGAGGTGGTCATTATGGAGAATCGCTTACAGTACCAGTTTTTTATGGAACTAGGTCATTAAGTAGTGCACAGTCTAAATAAATAGTTTCCTTCATTATAACCTTTAGAGTAGCCAGCTCTCGTCAGAGTATATTTGAGCTTTCCTGCACCTTAGCCCTTAGCATCGAAACAGGCAGTTGTACTGATGGGAGGCAGACCCTGAAGATAGTAAGAAGGACGTTGATGCCACGTCGAGACCATGGCTGGACTCGAGGGACGCTCACGCACAGTCAGGTTGGAAGCCCAGGAAGATGGGATGGAGGCCTTTCTGAGCTCGAAGAGTTAAGAGATGAAACATGGCAACCAACGTCACGGAGGTTTTTGCACTTTTGACAGAAGTCGTCAGAGTTGGGGTGTTTTGTCCAGGGACACAAATAATACATTAAATAGAATAAGATGTTTTGGGGAGGGAACTGGGTGCCCCTCCTGCCCCCCAACCCCGAAGCCCCCAGGGAGGGCCCTGGGGGAGGGCAGAGGACCTCCTCTCCTGGGCTGCAGAGTGTGGACCTGCAGACATGCACCACTGAGTCTAAGATAGGACAGTGAGTGGCTCTGTTGGACACAAGGGTATTGTTTTTAAAGCTTCTATCTTTAAAGGTGTAGCATCACATAAAAATAGTACTTCTAGCAGCACAGTGTTATTCTAACCCAGACTAGTTCCTTTCACATGATGTCTAAACCATACTTCCTCTAACACAGTGTCGTAGAACCACCTGGTTAGGGCACTGAGGGGTAACAATCGAGGGGTTGCTGTCCTCAGGTAGGTTATGATGCTGGGCGGCATGGCGGGTCGGAGGGAGGTATGGAATTTGAGGGTCTTCCTCTGCGTTTCACACGATGGCCCTCACGCCCCCCCGCCCAGATGCGTATCTCCTTAGCGGCCAGGAGTGGTGACAGCGGGTAGTTTAGGGAGAGTGTGTTTTCCTAATCGAACGTGGAGGTTAAATGCAGCACAGCTTTCAGGATGATCTATTTTAAAAACACCGTGAAGCAGGGTAGAGAAAGAAAGTTGATCTGAACTGCGAGCGGGAACCTTTGTTACCTGCCAAATGAACTCGCTGGTGATTGTGACAAGTTGGTACAGAGGTGACGGCTTTGCCAACAAAGACTTCTCGTTTCTAATAGAAAGGTGAGCTGATTTTATGTTAGTGGTAGCTAGTGAATGGTATTTGTATAAGTGATTTATTGGTGAGAATTTGGTCAAGGTGACAGCCTACTGTTTTGATGAAAAGACTGATGATGGAGAGGAGTCCGTTATGTGTGTCTAAGTGGGCTTCATTTAATATCACTTAATGAGTGCTAACGTGAATAGGTTGTTTATTTCACGGCTCACTTCCTTTGGAAAATAAATACCTTAGATCTTAACTTTTATCTCTGTGTTAGAACTCGTATCTTCAGAAGCATCCTGCCAAGAGTACTAGTACCGAGTCATGAGCTGCCATATTACTCAGTCCCCGGATCCCCCAGAGCAGGGTGCTCTGTGACAGTCACCCCATGGCTCCGGTTCCTTAAAAACCAGTCACTCCGGAGACAACACAGTCGGCTTGGTGGGACAGGGTAAGGACACAGCCAGTCTTCTCATGTTTATTGCTGTGTAGACGAGATGGTACCAAGGGACTGTTTTTCACCTTCCTGCTGGTTGTTTTGATATTGTTTGTTTTAAAATGTATATTTAGAATGGAATCATCTAAAGAGCTGATCCTGCTAACCTCCTGTTCCCTACAAAGGGAAATGTCATATGAATGTGTAAAAATAAAACTCTGAGAAAAAACAAACGCTCCACTTGTTCCTAAAGAGAATGAATGTTTTCCAGTAGGTGTTTTTGTGGTTTCTTTTAAATCCTAATGAAAGCATCTGTGTGTGTACATGCACGTTTTTATTATGGCACAGAATCACTGGGGGGCATAGAAGTGAAAAGTTCAAGTTCTTTGACTCCTCATTTGAATCAGGACTCGGTATTATTAGCACAGAACTAGAAAGCAGGGCAGAGTGTAAACCCAACTGGCTTGTATTCAAATTCAGGCTGCACGGTTTGTGGTAAGAATGTCATCAGGACAGTCTGGAAGGCTGGTGGCAATGGGGTGACCAACCATCCTGTTTTGCCTTGAGTGGAGGGGTCTCCTGAGACATGGGACTTCCCATTGCTAAAACCAGAACAGTCCTGAGCGCACCAAGATGGTTCACTACTAACCTTCGGTGCAGACTGGATGGACTGGTTCATCGTGGCTGTTCCATAGGAGCTTGAAAAAATTGCACTAGTTTGAGACAAAGGAGTCAATACCCTTACCTGTTTGTAGCCTTTTACCAAAACCAACAACAACAACAAAAAAACGTGAACAGCTTGAGTCTTCCTTTCATTTTGAAGTTAACACATTTAATAGATGGGATACTTTCGGTGGGACATTCCTAAATCCATTCTTTCCCAGGGTGGGGGCTAAATTTTTTTAAAAAGTGTTCTAGTTTCTGTGCTATCAAGGTGTTATCCTACAAGAAATACAGAAAAGGGAGAAGTAACATCAGAAATCACATTTTGCTTTTTTAAAAACCCAGCATGGACTCTCTTGGTCTGTGCAGGCTGCTACAACAGAATGCCATGGGCTGGGACGCTTAAACAGTGGACGTTTATTTCTTGCAGTTCTGGAGGCTGGAAGTCCAAGATCAAGGTGCTGGTGGGTTTGTTCTTGGTGGGGGCACGCTCCCTGGCTTGCAGACGGCTGCCTTCGTGCTGTGCCCACACATGGTGGAAAGAGATTGTTTCTCTTGTGTCTCTTCTTATACGGGCACTAATCCCGTTCGTGGGACTTCACCCTCATGTACTAATTACCTCCCAGAGGCCCCACCTTAAATACTTGGGGTTTAGGAAATTTGAAGGTACACAGACAGCCCCTGGCAGGCTCCAGTGTGGTATGTATTTAAAACACTTATTCTACCACCCACGTCAAAACCCGTGTCTTCAACCAGATAGTCACTTGGTGAGTAGTGACCCAGTCTGACACCTTTGAACGCTGCCTTCATCCCACAGACCTGTCTGGGATGTGTGAGTACCAGCAGGAGTGGCCTGTGTGGTCAGCTGTCACACTGTCAAGGAGGACTAGGGACCCAGCCCCTCTCCACCCTGTCACGAAACTTTTTGGTTTATTTCCATCAGTTGTCAAGGTGGCGCCCAGCACAAATGGAGCCAGAGTGGTTTTGGTGTTCCTACTGGGTGTTGGAGCGGAAAGGAGCCATCTTCACACCAGCCTGCAGCCCTGCTGGGCCACAGGCCATGGGATGAGGTGGGGAGAAGAAACAGTGCTCCCACCCCCACCCCACCCTGTGTGTGCTCACCCCCCTCCTTCCAGCCCTGGATCTCATCGCTGACTGCATGGGCACAGGTGCTCAGACATGCCACTCTGGTCTTCTGTACATGAATGCTGATGGCCTCTCCCCCAGGGGACTGAAGACCACTGTGGACACGAGCGCTCACTCCACACCACCCTCCCTGCTACATGCTGAACCCAGAACACAGCCGGGAGACCAGGGGGCCAAGGGCTGTGCCAATTCAAAAAATAAAAGCTTCAGAGCAGCAGCCATGTTTCTGCCTGGAGTGGAGGCCACAGGAGGCAGCAGCAGGGAGTCAGCCTTCTTCCTGCTCATCTCTTGCCACTCCCTGCATCGGCCTCCTCTGACCTCTAGGCCAAGTCAGGTCCATTTATCACCCGCCCCATTTTACCTGGCTCTTCCCTCTGTTGTCTCCACTAGCTCCACCATCATGTGTTCAGTGACTAGCGTCTGCATTCAATGGCAAGTTCTCGGAGGATGGGGACACTGTGCCTTGTTTATTGTTGTGTCCCCAGTTCTTAGCACATGCCCGGTACATTCTGGGTGCTCCACCAGATTCAGTGAGTGAGTGACACGAGTGAGGGGGATCATCCTCTGTGCCCCTTGTGGGGCTCTGCGGGGATCTGTGGGGCTCTTTGGGGCTCTTTGGGGCTTTGTGGGGCTCTGCGGGGCTCTGCGGAGCTCTCTGGGGCTCTGCGGGGCTCTGACACAGGCTTCATTTTAAAAGCACATACTGACCCCAGCACTCCCAGCAGTTTCCCTTTATTAGCATTTTCTTCTCAATCCCTGTTAACTTCCTAGAAGAAGGAGCTTTTTCCAGGACTTTATTGCCCCAAATCTAACTCCAGACCTGCCTGAGGGGCTACATAATATATAGAAATAAATACATAATACCAGGTGTTGGGTCTAGCCTCCTGCACAGGAAGTTTTGAACTTTTGAAGAGAAGCCTTTCGGCCACAATAGTGCTGATGGGTGAGAATTCTTACTGTCAGGAAAAACCACGAAGGTGGTAAAAAGAAAAATGGCTGATAGAAGCACCAGGTCACCCTGAAGGGCACCCATGGCCAGAATGGGGTCCACGGGAGGGGCACGGTCTCGCTGTTGCGTTTGGAGCAAAGAGTCAGCCTTGGAAATCTGTGCGGCGGCTGTTCCATCCTCTAGCTGGACAGACGGATACAGCACCTGAAGCCCCGGCACCCAGGCCTGCCCAGCTCTCTGGGGGCGAGGTGGGGGGTCTCAGTCGGCTGCGCTGGGCCTGGCCTTCCCCAGCATGGTGGGCTGCGGCCCGCCGGTGCAGAAGGCCGGCTTGGCTTTCGGGGCCTGCCTGGGCTTCACGGCCACCTCGGGGGCCCTGCAAACAAGCAGAGGGTGGGGTGAGCGGGCGCCCCTCGGACCTCGGCTGCTGGGAGGACGAGCCTAGCAGTTGCCGAGGTACGTTCATGAAGGCGCCTCAGGAGGGATGTAAATGGGAGGAGAATCGTGGCACAGGAGCACAGAACTCGAGGCTTTTTCTCCCACTTTGATTCCTCGGGACCATTCTCGCTGAGCTGACACTTCAACCCTTAGCTGCTAAAGAGCCGGGGCCCACAGGGCAGGCTCCGAGACGGTGGCCCTGCCGCCGCATCCGCCCGTGGGCCTTCCCCAGCGAGGGCTCGGCCGTCAGCCCACAGGCCCAGCGAGGCGGGCCTCTGCTCCGCGGCTGAGACAGCCGTAGGCCCGCCTTCACGGTGAAGTCGGGGCTCACAGTCTCCGCCTGGGAGGCACGGGAGGCCCGAGGCTGGGCCCCAGCAGGCCGAGCTGGGCTCTGTGCCCTCGCCCTCCAGCAGGTGAGATGACCTGCAAGCGGCCGGTCTGCAGGAGAATGAATCCCAGCATGTGTTTCGGACATTATTCAAGAGCTAATTTCTTCCTAATATCTGGCAAGGAGATATTTTCCAGCTGGGTTTTCAAAGGAACTGGTCTGGCCTAGTGTATGAGTTAGGGGAAATCAGTTAGTAAAACTTTCCATGGAAAGTGCCACAGACCCTTAGAGAACCGGCTCCCTCTGAGATTCTGACGTCAAAGGACAGCGTGAGGGGAGGCCAACTCACCTGGACAGGACGTTGATGGTCTGCTGGGTGGCCAGAGTCTTCTTGTCCTGCGGTCCATATAAGAGGGTCTGAATCTGAAGACACTGCAGAAAACCAAGTAGTAATCATGAGGTTATGGAAATGTCACCAAGAGCATTTTACAGGAAAATCAAGTCTCCCCTGAATGATAGAAAGAATGCTTCATTCATAGACCCATGTGAGTCATGACGGAATTAGTGCATTCTCGGGGTCTCTCCTAGGGGCGGTCTGACCTTCAACTTAGAGGCGCTGGGGGATCCAGGAAACAAATGGACAGTTCTAGCACTATTTTGTAGAACTCTGTGACTACCTGTATGCAAGACTATGTTTAAAACTTGTATGTCTAGAAAATAAAGGCAAGAGGGTTTGGGGACTTCCTACTGAAGTCTACGTATTCATTCTGATCCGCCAACCATTTTTAGGTCTTTGGGAAAATTAAACAGCAGGCAGCCAAAATGTAAGCTGTGGAAAATATCAAAACCATCTGAATGTTTGGTTCAGTTGGAGGAATTGAGAATGTGGTTCTGGAATCTGAGAATGTGGTTGCCTTTTGGAGGAAAGAAATAGTACTAGACAGGAGGATGGCAGGATTTTTTTTTTTAAATAACAGAAAATATTCACTGTTTCTTAGCTGAATGATATAACACAAAGAAATAGGAGACCTTTTCTGCTATTCTAGTTAGTGTACAACCCAAGTTCTGTGAAGGCAGGGGTCCCAGCCACCCCACCAGGCGAGTCCCAGGCTTTCTGAATCTGCTCGGGGGCCCTGGCCTGGCTGCTGGTTCCCTGGGTTTGAGCTAGTGTTGCTTTAATCCAGAGAGATTGTTGTGACCTTGGAAGTGTAGGAACCTTGAGGAAGTTCTGTGCTGCTTTCAGGGGACGGAGAAGGGGACAGACACCCGTGACACGTGATGTAACCTCTTCCTGCGCTCCGCCGGGTCTGGCTCACAGCCGCAGGAAGCCCGGGTGCTGGCCGCACAGGGCCCGGCAGAGGAGGGCTCAGACTGGGACAGCAAGCAGGAAGCAAGAGAGCTCTCCCTTCACTCGTGTTTGTCAGGGGGCGGCCTCTCTCCAGGGCTCGCACATCTTGCCAGAACAGACTGCATTTTCTCCAGCTCGGCCAGGAATACCTTCACTCAGTGTGAAAGATCAGGTCTAATTGTAAACCCACCCAAACTTCCCGCTGACAGATTTACGAGTGCCTCCCGTGCAGCTCATTTTGAGAGGAGCTGATGTCAACATGCCTTGGTGTTGATTCACTCACTGAAGATTCAGAATTTGACCGACATTGCAATGATTATTAGAGGCACTCTGAGGTCTCAGTTCACTCTGCCTTAGGAGGTGGCCTCCAAAATCTAAAACTCAGGAGGAATTTCCCTCCTACACCTTTGGTTATTGAAGCTCCTTCTCCTGGGCTCATCCTCTAGGGAAAGAGATATTATTAACTGAATATGCAACAGATTTCTGGGATGACGCGGCAACTGACAGTACTCAGGGGGATTCTCACTGGTTCTCGGCTAACCACCTCCAGCCCAGACCTGGGGTGTTGATCGCTTTCACGGGGCGTGTGATGCTAGTAGAGACAGCAGTTAGGAGAGAGGGTCGTGGTTGGGTAAAGCGACCCTTTTCAGTAACCAGCCCCAGAGAGAGGTGAGCCACTCGCATCCTCGCATCCTACCCACTTGACCCCAGCAGTCAAGGCTCTTCTCTTCCTGCTGTGACAGGTTTTGTTAAGGCTACTTATTCTCACTCAGGAAACTTGCCCAAAACTCGAGCTGAAGTGAGAAAAGATGTAAAGGGATGTCAACTAGGAGGGGGAAACAGGTCTCAGCCCCTACCCAGCCCCCTTTCTGCTGACAGTGCCCAGGGAGGCCACGCCGGGCACCGAGACGGGAAAAAACGGTTCATCCAGGAACTGAAATGGCCTTCACTCAAACAGTGAAATAATCCACTACGGACTCTTACTAGGAAATGCTTTACATAGCTGTATGCTTATCTAAGAAACATAAATTGAATTTTTCAGCGTTCCGTGGCTCTTAGCTAAATTCGCTTAAGCATTTTTTGTGTGAAGTAGATATTTCGATTCTTTTGCTAAAAACAGAGGCGTTGACAGAGACAAAGTCAATAAATGTTAATTGAACCTACTGGGAACCAGGCATTGTAAACATCTCACTGAACTAGGTAAAGAGCTCCCCAGACCTCGACAGGACAACATTCTCCACCAGAAATTAAGGCATTCTGTGCTCTCCAGGTTCTTCCAAGGAGGCCACTGCACTCCGGTCTGAAGTCAGCCTCCAAAGGGTGTTTCTCACTTTTCTTTGAAGTGAGCAAAAAAACTGAAATTTCGAGTATCCAGGTGAATTTTAGGAAGCCTTTACACTGCGTGTGTTCTCTTTGATTTTATCTGCAGGGGTTGGGAGGAGTCATTTGTGTTTTTATTATTCCTTAAATTACCAAACAAGGAGCTTTCCTCCCCCTGCAGGAAGACAAAAGGGAGCTTTTACACCAGCCTGCGAGCTGTCCCCAAAGGGGCCATGTTTGTTTTGCTCATCTTTGTGTCCCCGGCACATAAGTAGATGCAGCATTTGCTAAATGAATGAATAACTAAATAAGTGAAGCAAAAGATCAACTGATCGACCAAATTCTTATATGCAGCCTTAAGACATGACTGGACTACAGGGCTCCTGTGATACATCAGCCACTGAAACCCCTGGTAAGGAAGCCCTGTTGTGGGTCAGGGTTCCCAGCCTCCACCGTAATCCAGGCAAGTCCAATAAGAAAGAGTGCTGACCACCAGGCTGTTTTCTCCCAGGAGTCACGCATGAAGCCTGGGGAACTGACACATCCTTAAGCATTTGATGAGAATCTTAAAAATTATATGTGATACAACTTTGGGTTTTGAAAGTTAGGTGTCTAAGGCTCCCAGGAGCCAAGCAAGCTGGGATAGGAGGCATCCATTTGCTGTCCTAGCTCCGGCCTCCTCTGTGCCCCAGCTCTCACCTTCCCCGCGGGGACAGTCGGGTGGCTCAGGGGCAGCTCCGGCTGGAGGTTAGCTGACTCTGCTCTGGCTTTGGAGAACCACAACAGTTACAGACTCAAGTCACGAGGAAGCATATTTTCTGATGTGAGGGGCTCTCTGAATATCAGCAGTTGGTACGCAGGGCCGTTTATTTTCACAGCAGTGCCTCTGCAGAAGTGGGTTGGGGGCCCTGAGCCCTCCTCTTCTGCCTCAACCTCCAGCCTTAAGTCCTGAAACCACATGGTCATTTCTACTGGGAAATTTCACACAATGAAGGTGCTGCCAGGACACGTCCTATTTATTAACAGAAGCTGGGGCTGCAAGCAAAGAGCCATTTCACTTGCAAGGCTATGCGACTCCATGATGGAAAATGGAGACAGCCACGTTTTCATGCCTGGTGAGGGTCGGCGCCAAGCCTGTCATGCTAGTGTGTGTATTTTGTCTTTAGATGAAATGAAAAACAAAGCCGGAGAAAGGTAAAGGTTTTTAAGCAACTCTAATGCTCAGGAGCTGAAATCACTCCTCTTCTTTATACATCTTGTCTGATGCTAGAGTATTTCTCCTGGGAGGAGAAATTACTCAGGACCTCACGAGCTGTGCTTCTATTTTCATGTCAATTCTCAAGGCTACTGTTAAGAAGACATCAGAAACCAAAATACATGGAAGTGTGAAATATCTTAAAAGTTTAGAAAAACACAAATATGCTTTCATTTACCTATCTTTAGCAGGCAAGCAGAAATGATTACTTAGATGATGAACTCGGGGGAATTGAAAGGACGAAGCAAGACACAATTCACCAGACAGCATCTTCCTCTAAAAACGGGTCACACGGGTGGGGCTCGGTTTCCCCGAGCCCGTCAGCGCCAGCCTTGTGCGCTGGGCCTGCGTCTTCCACTGCCGCCACCACGCCTTTCTGCAGGTGTTTGCCGAGCACCCGCCATAGGCCAACCCTGTGTCCACCTCAGTGATGGAGCAAGGGGTGGGGGCTTTTGTGGAGTAGGGGAGCCAGGTATTTAAAAATATGTAAACAAACACGTCATCACAGCTCCTGATGAGAACCGTGGAAAAGAAAAGAGAATGTGGGCTGTGAAAGAATAAAGGAGGAGAGGGGGCAGGTTTAGCTCAAGTGGTAGAGTGTGTGCTTAGCGTGCACGAGGTCCTGGGTTCAATTCCCCAGAACCTTTATTAAAAAAAATTAAGTAAATAACCCTAATTAACTAGCACCTCCCCCCCCAAAGGAGGGGTTTCAGTGGTGGTAGACGGTTCTTGGGTCAGTGAAGGCCTCCTCTCTGAGGTGACCTCGGAGTTGAGACCTGCAGGATGGGGACTCAAGCACGTGAAGAGCACCAGGTAGGGGTAGGGGTGGGGGTGGGGGTCCCAGGCAGAAGCGGGAAGGAATTTGAGGGAGGCATACCCTGTTTCTCTCTCTCTCTCTCTCTCTCTCTCTCACACACACACACACACACACACACACACACGCCAGCAGCTTCCTTACCTGCAGGGCCACTAATTCTGAGACCCGATGATTACTGCACAGGTGGGTAGGAAGCCTCCCATGAGAAATGCAGGTAGGGTGGGACCAGGGGCCCTAGGACAAGGGAAACGGGAGAGGAGAACAGAACGGAGTGGGGGGCCCAGGCACTGCCCCTCACACGGCTGCTCAGAGTGGCCCATCTGAAAAGCTCTCCCTGAGTGTCTGAGTGCCAGTCTTGGAGATGTGGACGTCACCCTCGCTGTCTCCCTGACGCCTCACCTCAAGTGCCGTGGGGTCTCTGTCCTCATCGACATCCCTCGACTCCCCCCCGGCTTTCCTCCATCCCCTGGCCCCTGTCTTGGAGCAAGCTACCATCATCTCTCTCCAGGACAACTGCAACACAAATATTTAGAAAACAAATGCAGCAGCAGGACTTGCTCCAGGGGACGCCCGCGTGTGCCCACAGAGGAATGTAGCTTTTCTTTTTAAAGTGGACAGCTTGCCTATTTCTGAGCCAGACAGACAAGAAATCCAGACCTTCTTAAAACTAAGCCTTTCGAGCTGCCTTTCCC